AAGAAGAAGAAGAAGAAGAAGAAGAAGAAGAAGAAGAAGAAGAAGAAGAAGAAAAAGAAGAAGAAGAAGAAGAAGAAGAAGAAGAAAAAGAAGAAGAAGAAGAAGAAGAAGGAGAAGAAGAAGAAGAAGAAGAAGAAGAAGAAGAAGAACAACAACAACTACAAAAATGCAACAACAACAATAACAACAATATAAATAAAAACAACAACAACAACAACAACAACAACTACAAAAATGCAACAACAACAATAACAACAATATAAATAAAAACAACAACAACAATAACAACAACAACCAAAGAACAAGAGCACAAAGAAAAGGAAGAACTAGACGAACAAGGACAACAAGAAGAAAAATACACAACAACAACAACAACAAACGTAACAGCAACAAAAACAACAATAACAATAGAACAACAACAACAACAACAACAACAACAACAACAACAACAACAACAACAATAGCACCAACCACAATAAACAACGGCCAAAACGCCACAATAAAAACAGCAGGAAACAACATTATCAAAAAAGTAACAACGACTATAACAACGGCAACAACAGTGTCAATGCTATGAGCGAAATCAACAGCAGCAAGAACAACGAGGTAACAGCACAAATCAGGAAACATGACTTTGCATAATATGTCACAGTAAGCATATTGTTTCCTATCTTTTCAAATTTAAGGTAAAAAAAAAAATTAAAAATTGAAAGATCTGCATGAATGACGAAGTTACGCTTTATTTAAAGTGCCCCAATACGGAGCATCTTTAAAAGCTTTGTCAAATGACCACAATGCATAACTGCAATGCGTTAAACCACCTGTTTCACTGCTTGTAAATACAGAACGGCATTGAAATAATATGGCACGCTTGATTTAATTTGCATGTATCGCCAAGACTGCTATTCTCTCTATTTTGACACAATTCTTAGAAGAAAAAAATGAATCGCAACTTGAGCCCTGAAACATTATAGTCAGATGTGAAGGTATGAAATTGTTCTTCTCAATTTAAAAAAACCTAAAGGATTAATAGCATCATTTTTGGAATTTGGCATACACCGGAGTATCAAACATCAACACTACCTTAACCTAAGACATATTTTCATTCTTTTGCAATGTCAGGAGCCCATCCAGCTCTCGTTTCGCTTAAACATATTAGCATCAGGCAATCTCATTTAAGGTTGTAACATATTCTGTAAAAAAAAAAGAACTCGGACATAATCTGAAATATAATGCCCAGTACAAACTGCCCATCAAATTCATGACCCTGTGGGGGCCAGCCAAACTTTCGTTCATTGAGAGGAAAATGTTTCCATTTTGGCACAATTAGACCGAATTCTACTTACGACCTTGAAATGCAAACGCGTTTTCAAAAGTCACAGCCAAATTTTGTTGAGTTCGATCGAATTGTGCCAAAATAATGACTTTTGCCCGATTCATGAAAAAAACCTGACTGTCCCCGACTCAATCAAATGAAATTGGCAGTGTGCGCTGTGTGTTACACAACAGGTGTTTGTTCTGCTTAAAGATGCGGCCCTGGTGTAAACTGGTCCTGGTAAATGATGGTCATCGTCCTGGACATTGAAATATCACTACCAGAGGGTTTACCAGTACATGTCACGTTCTCAGCTTTGACGTCTTTTCCTCTCCGTTTCAGGGACCAGGTGGAGGTAATACTCGAGCCAGTCATCGATGTACTGTTTATAAGACCGCTTGTCAACTTTTCTTTTCTTTCCCCTCTTGAAAGCTGAGGATACACGGCTTCTCCGTAGATCTTGCACGACACGTCACACGTATCGCTGACGCACACCGGAGGAAGCATCTCTACTATGTTAACACCAGCAGGATAATTCTCTGCTGCAGCTAACGGGCGTATGGAGACAAGTGTCGTGAGCTCTACTTTGGTCACAAGTTCTCCTCGGAGTTCTTTAATCGTGCTGATCCTTGAAACGCCCACCGGTAGAATCTTCGATGTTTTAATGGTGATCGCTATCTTCTTCGAACTCCGATATTCCGCTCTCAAGATGGAAGCGCAGACTGTGTCCGTCTCATCTTTTAAATGGCATGTCTTCTCCGACACTTCCTTTTCACTATTACCTTCGTTCAAGTACTGAATAGTTATGGCCATACTAGAAAGGACCTCGAGACGTTTGGGTCCTTGAACTGTGACCTCTAGAACGGGATTCTCTTCTCCCCAGTAAAGCAAAGGGTCAGGACTTGTTACAGCAAAATGATGGCCAGGGATACGATACTGGGAAGCATCCTTGGTGTCGAGGTTGTTCAGAGATAAGGAGGCCATAAAAGTAAACCTAGAAGTGCAAGTGGAAGAGTTTAAAAATAGGATAAGTCTCCCAGAGGTCATTTTGAAAAAATGCTAACCCCAAAAAGACCAACAAACAAACAAAAACCAAAACACAAAAAAAAGGTGAATATACGTATGATGAGCTACGAATTTGGATACCTCGTAAAGGCCATGACTCTGATTTAAAGCCATTCAGTCATTTCATTTAAACGCCAAGAGGTTAACTATTATTATGATACTAGAGCTCGCAGCATTGACGTCACATATTATGTCAGACATGAGAGTCTTCTTACTTTTTACTCTCATCGGCATGGCCGGCGCGCCCCCATTTACATGAACACTCTGAGTCCCACCCGGCTCCCCATGACCTCTCGTACATCAAACACCGTCCTGCCTCAAAATGTGTCTCGACGTGGTGGAACCAGTCGCTCGTCAATTATTGTGCATGAGGTTTATTGGTATCATCTAAAAGCTGATTTATTTGCCTTGCTTTTAATCAAATAAATATCCATTTATCTTGAATAGAACTCAAGATATTTGTGATTGAAGGAAGCGAGGTTGCCTGGTTTCTTTGGTGAAATTAGCGAGAAAATGGTCGTCAAAGTTCGGTAACTCCAATTGCTAAAGAGTCCTTGAAAACAGAAAAATGAAATATTTTGTGCTTTTAGTCAATGTTTTTCAATAAAATTCACATGGAAATGTGTTTTTATGTGGACATAAAAGAGGTTGAGTCTAAAAATAAAGATTCGATAAAAATGTTAAAATTTTCGGGAAAATGCCTGTTTCTCAGATTTCTGTATCTTGACGAGCGCCTGATTTCACCATGCAGCCTCACACATTATTATTTCAATGCTAGCTAGCAGATTTCCTCCTAAGACCCCCGAAACGCCTGAACGTGATACTCGATAGTTACTTACCCGGCCGTTAAACTTGCCCTTGAGATTCAGCGTCCCACAGTTGGCACAAACAGCCCCCATTCGTTTACGTGGGGGACAACACTGCCGCGAAATCTAGTACTAAATATAACCTCTTTGTTTTTGTTGTCTCCCCTGTCGTGTATCGTCATACCAAGAACACTATTTTTAGCAGAATGTGACTTATATCTTTTTATTTTTATTCAGCACACACGATGTAGATTGCTTTTTGCATAAGTCTTTGTGATTTAAAGTAATACTTCAACATTAGGTCAACAAGAATCGGATTTTTAAAAATCAGAAAAGAACCAACAAGTGCCCTCTCACCCCATCAAATCAAGGAAACACGAACAGACACACACGCACATACTCACCACACACACGCCGTATGTATACGCACAAGCCCTCCCTCCCCACTCACACACCATTATACACGCTATGGTCTTTATTGTCTCTTAGAGCAGTAGGCATAATACATCTTTGACATTGCACTAAACATAGAAGAATTAGATTGCCCCCAAGTACTACTTCCATCCTTTCTAATCTTGACTTCCTTGCCAAAGGAGAGACATCGTCACTACGTTTGTAAACAAAAAAGGTGTAAGGGTGAGTCTTACTATTTCTTTTTCTTCTCTATTTGATCTCAGGACGAGCCGGCTACTGGTTATAGACCTACACACACACACACACACACACACACACACACACACACACACACACACACA